AGGGGGAGGAGACGTTCTGTTGTTTATCATGACCATCTCATATTGGAATAAATGAAGAATCTGATTTTTAATGACTTTTTTCTCAGCTCATTAAATCAGAGCAGACCCTGTTCTGTCAACGAGGAGACTGAAGGTGGCGCTAATGTGAAATGATGTGGAGATTAAGGGGAATTAATGAACTTTTAAATGGTTCAACTGAAAGTATAACTGATAAATGGGGAATTAGGCTAACAGATTAGCATAGCACCACAGATTAGCATAGCACCACAGATTAGCTGTTAACCAGCTGACATCTGCTCATTCTCTCTCAGTCTTTATCTTTGATTTGAAACAATGTTGAACCTTCACCTCCCCCAGCTGGGCAGTATTTCTGGGCAGTATTTCTAATGTTGGTGCGGTTCTTTGTGGAACGTCTGTCTGTCTTTTATCTCCAGTCTTTTCCAGTTCAAACCGGTCGTGTCTGAGCTCCTGGTCGGAGTCAGAGTCAAAACAGTTCCAGGAGTCAAGGACGATGAACTGTTGAAATGACGTCCAGCTACAACAGAGCAGGGGGCGCTGTGGAGACGACTGCTCAGACTGATGGACTCTGGACCAAGTATTTCTGTGCAGTATATCTGGGCAGTATTTCTGTGCAGTATTTCTGGGCAGTATTTCTGGGGAGTATTTCTGGGCAGTATTTCTGTGCAGTATTTCTGGGCAGTATTTCTGTGCAGTATTTCTGTGAAGTATTTCTGTGCAGTATATCTGGGCAGTATTTCTGTGCAGTATTTCTGTGTACTCTTGCAGTATTTCATCTGCTAATTCAATCCAACATTTGCAGCAATGACACACACAGATACAGGAAGTCATTAGATTCTCCATCCTGTTCATTTTCTTCTCCACCTCAGTGTCTGTGTCAACACCACTGACATCATTAACACACACACACACACACATTGATTAGTCTTCAACATGGCTAAAGAGCGCCCCCTACTGTTCCTGTGCGTCCTGGTGTTATTTCTGAATGCACCTTTCCTTTGGGGTGAAGTGAAATAAGATTGAACCTGGAGATGCTCTGGAACCGATCCTGGAACTGTTCTGTGTGCTCATGCTCCTCTGTGTGACAGGAACTCATTTAAAGTTCCTCCAGGCTGCGTCCAGACTCTGGTTCTGATTCTGACAGACGGTGCAGGAACAGAACCACAGAGTACTGACTGTAGGAGGAACTTCAGGTCCAGGAACTTCAGGTTCGCCCACTCGCCCCACAGTCGCCCTGCATCACTGCTGGAGTCTAGGCTACAGTAGCCAATTAGAGGCCACACACACACACACACACACACACACACTGATGCCTCAGCAGTAACAGCCGCAGCCGTAACCACACAGGAACTTCAGGTCCAGGAACTTCAGGTCCAGGAACTTCAGGTCCACTCTGTGTTGTTCCTTTCATGTCCTTTGACCTTCTGTTACTGAGCTGCAGTTCCTCTCTCCACCTCCAGGGGTTCTGGTGTTGCCACTGACAGAACCACAGCTTTATCCACTCTCACTGACATTTTTACTGAAGATGATTTTTTTTTCACCACAGACGTTTTTATTCATTACAGCAGCAGCTGGTTGTCGGTTCAATTCC